GCGTTCATCCTGGATTGCTGCAATTCGTTGTTTTAAAAGCACTGGATCTGATAAACCAGAAGCTAAATTCTGTTTGACGAACTTAACACCATATTGTTCCAGTGCTTCATCAAAAGCTAGATAGTGATATTCTCTGGTAATGTTTACTGAAGCAACATGTCTGAGCAATTCATATTGTTGTGGATGGCGTGATATCGATTCTAAGAAAAATGCTATTGACATTGCATAATTGTTTTTCCCAGCAACAGGAAATAGGGGTGCGAATGCTGCCAAATTTTTTAATTGCATGTCTAGATTTCCTGTACGAATTCCTGCACGATGAGCCTTCCAATGCCCAGCTAAACGGTAATATAAGTACCAAACTTTTAGGGTATTATTATTTTCACTCATTATGGTATTCTCTATTTCTATATTATCCATCTCATCTTGTATTTTATTATTTTTTTTTAGATGAAGATGAATCGCTATTGCTACAGCAAAATGTATTAATCCTAATACATTGCATGTTGAACGATAATCTACGTTTTGCTTTAGTTTCTCAAGAAATTTAACACCAAGTTTTGCCGCCATGCTATATAAACTATATCCGCTAAATGCAGCTATTAAAGCACTGCACATAGCTTTCGATATGTGCCACTGCCCAAGCATAAATCGGCAAGTTAAATTTTCATTTTTATATGATTTAGTTCTTCCAAAAATAGCTACATCATATGCTAAATCAACAACATTTTGACCAAGATCCTTTAAAAACATGTTAATTAACTCGAACACAGCTTCATTACTATTAGGTGCTGGCCCAGGCTCTAGTATAACGAGATTTGGTGGGTTTACATTACATCCTAACTCAATGTTATTAAATACTTCTGCATCAATCTCTCTAATTCCGAAGTTTCTTCCATTTTTGTTTAATAATTGTCTTATTATTTGATCAAATTTTATTTCCCATTTAGTTGTAAATTCTGATTTACCAAACAAATTTTTTTGAGGTTCCGGATTTTGATTTTCTTGAGCAAGGTTCGACAAATTAAACGGAAGTTCAAACTGAAATACCAGTCGTAAAGTGGCATGCGCGGATCGTCGTGTAACATCATAAATATTGCCGTATTCAAAAACAATATTCTTGAAATCGATATTATCAATTACTGCAATATTCCAAATATTTGGTCCTTTTATTAATTTTGTCAATGGATTGTATTTACTAACACGCTCTTTTTCTAGTACTGTTTCGTGTTTCCATGTGCGAGATGTTATATGTACCGCATGA